CCGTTTGGGAGCGCCAAGACTACGTACTCTACTAAGTACATGCACGCGTGTTGCGTCATCGGACACCTTATCGGCGCGCCGCTCGTATAAACAAAGATTTATGACCTCCTGTTGCGTTCCGACGGCTCAAGTGATGTTATTCTTTAAGTTTATGAATGGGACTATTGTGTGGTATTACAGTTGTTGACATTAATTGTGTCAATATTTTATTAGGTAAGTGTAAACATCAGCAATAGGTAAAAATGACAAAGTTTCAAATATAAATGGTATTATTTTGAAATCTCTATCAATAACCTATTAGTTTATGATTTTAAATAATAGGTAGGTTAATTCTACGTAAAAATAAATAAAGAAACATTAACTTGTCGTATAAAAATATTTAATTACAAACACTTTATGTTAAGGTGATAAAAAAAAAAATAACCCCAGAAAAACATTTTTTTTTTTATTTATATCCTCTCACATACAGTAAAAATATTATTATTTTCTAAAAGATATATTTATATTTTAACTAAGAAATAAAATTCAACTCCATACCTTTAACTCATACAAAGAAATATTACATTGATTGCCGCAGCGAACTTTTACACCTAACGCGCGACGCGTTCTTTTACCTATTGTAGGCGGTAAACATTTAATAAACCAATTATGTTACACACATTCATTTAGTACAACAAATTACCTTTCTAACGATATATAACACTTCATATTTCTTTAGCGTTAAACACGTAACAAATACGTTTACATCACAAGTGGAACTGTTATCACAAAAAACCGTTATTATTAGGGCATGACACACACAGGACAAATTCGTTGAAACAGTGTTACGTATTTTTACGCGACATAAAAATATTATTTATATAATTAATTAATTAAAACAGTTGTGTGTTGACACAACACAAAAAGTTATCGCCATTTTTAACAGACTTCAAAAAAGAAGGATTGTTCTCAGTTTGACCTGTGTGTATGTTTGTCCCCGATTACGTGAACCGATTTTGATACAGTTTTCAGAAAAGTGTTTGTTACACTTAGCAGACGAAGCCGCGGAGGACAGGTTGCCGGGGCAGCGGAGCAGAAGTAGAAACGTGATGGTTTTTAGTCAGTAAGAATCTGACACTCCCTCTCGCCTCACCCAAGGCGGGAGAAGTCATTGGTCAAAGTCAAAGTCAAAATCATTTATTTCAATTAGACCAGAAAGGCACTTTTGAAGGCACCTTGGATTGGATGATTGCTCCACACACAAAAAAAATACTGGTGTTTTTCAGGTGACCATGGCCAGCGCCGATTGCTTACCTTCAGGTAATCCGTCTGTTCGTTTACCAGATTATCCCAAAAAACTGGACCTACACAGCCATGTGATAGTCTTTGAAACAACCCTGTATACACAGATTCACGTTGCAAGTGTCGCACTTCCACACTGTGCATGTGTCTTTTTTTTGTAGTGCGCACCACTTGCAACGTGATCTTTTTGAGGCGTTCCTGGCAGGGAAGTGGTTGGTGGCCGGAGGCGCCTGTATTTTTGGCGGAGAAAACTTCTGCAAGATTTCATCCGCCAATCGTACTCGGAACGCCCGCTGCCTCATGGCTGGAACCACACTCGAGAACATCACGAATGTGTTGTGGATCGATACATTCAGAAGCCGGCGGAAAAGCTTTTTGTACCAAATGTGGTTTCGGACCCTTTCTATGGGAAATGCTTGCAGCATTTGGTCTTTTTTATCAATGCCTCCCATAGAAAGATTATAGTCCAAAACCACTTTGGGCTTATATTTAAAATAGCCGTATTTTTCTTTTCCGCCGACTTCTGCTTTGTGGTACGTTGATATCATAGATACCACATTGGTATCTTTCCACACCACAATCGTGATGTCTTTAGTTTGGCTGAAAGCCACTTCCCCTGTGCGCATGTTTGCCTTATTTTTACGCTGTAAACTTTCGGGCACGAACTCTCGGTTCAGGCGCAACGTGCCGATTACGTCGGTCTTTTGGCACTTTAAAGTGCGTGCCAAAAGAGGGCTATTATAAAAATTGTCCATCACCAAGGTATGGCCTTTATTTAATAAAGGCTGTACCAAGTGATGGACAATTTTGGATGTAGCACCCACGGCTTGCGACTCCTCCCGAGAGTCGTGGCCAACATTATGCCCTTCCTTACCGGTGTATACCATCATTTTCCAGAGGTATCCCGTCCTAGACTCACAGAGCTCATAGCTCTTTATACCTACCTGAGCAGCTTTATTTGCAATCAGTTGTGCAAAAGAGAGCCGCCCTTTCCATAGGAGGAGCGACTCATCGATAGCAATTTGCTGCTCAGGTAGGTATAAAGAGCTAAATTTTTTGTTTAAATGGTCAATTATAGGCCTTATTTTTGTGAGCCTATTTGGGATTCCTCTGGCAGCAAGAGTATTATTACTAAAATGCAAACACCTCTTGATGGCTACAAACCGGTGGAAGGACATTATGTCAGCGAAGTTTCCCAGTTTCAAATAAGGCAAACATGGGCGCCAGTACTCGCTCTCTACAGGGAGCTGCGTAATGCTCTGCAGCATCAGAATACCGAAGTACGTCCACAACTCCTGAGGTGTAATGGGCGTCCACCTCCTCAGTCGTGACGACTTCGAGAGGTTTTCTGAGCTGCAGAGAATTTCGCCGTACCGGTTTGTTTCTCGGACTATCACATTGATGATGTCATCGTCCCAAATTTTCGAAAAAATTTGGAATGGTGACATTCCATCAGCTGGAAATGTAGGCCCAGCTTCCCCAGTAAATATCTCACGCTGCCCCGTAAAAACTTCGGGATCATGCGACCAACTAAAGTGCAACATGTCCTCGTTGGCTATCTCCCGCAACGCATCGTCATCACGACGATCCAAATTGAGCAGCGCCTCGCTGAGATCGCTGCTCAATTCTTCCTCGGCGGGATAGGCCGCGTCCCCCACGCGATTGCTCAGCCCATTGAACAGGGGTTCCTCCTCCATGTCGCTGTCCGGGTAAAGCCCCGCCGACCGTTCCCACTCCAAAATGTGGTCATCCACGTCCTCGTAGATAGAAGGCTCTAAAACCAAATAATACATACCTTAACAGAGTAGATATGAGGAGCAAGCAGTGTCTCATATTTCTGAATTTTCTACTGGACTTCTACTAGTGACCTTAGATTAAATACAAAATAACTCACCTGCTCTACTCGAAGGTGTTGGAGACACCACATTCTGGAGTGCACAATCTGTAGTAGACGTGCTTGGGGAGAAGCCTATCAGCTGAATGGTGGACTCCACAATGGTTCCTATGGCCCCAACATCCTCCGTCGCAACTCTCACTACTCCCGAAGAGGGAGTAAATACGAGTTGAGTTGTTCTGTAAAAAAGCGTAGCAAATAAAACCAAATCTATACAAAAAAAAAATTGGACTGTCTATTTCTAATATTAAAATAACCGCTTTTTGTACATTAATATACATTGAAACACATACTAAAATAACATTTTTTACAATATTTAACTGTCTGTCTGTCTGATTGTACTTGCTAATCTCTGAAATGGCTTGGCCGATTTTGCAAGACTTTTATTGGCAGGTACTAAGAAGTAACATAGGCTACTTTTAATTTGGAAAATTGAAACAAAAAAGCAATATGTTCTAAATTTTATATTATACGCGGACAAATTCGCGGGCAACATTTAGTCTTTTAATATAATACAATCATTAAGTTAAAATATTATTGAAACTTACGCTGGGGGCGGTGTCAGCCGATCACTGGAGACCACTTGCTCTAAGTCCACCACTCTGCTAGGCCCACTCACGTCTACTACAGAAGCTAAAAATTAAAATAAGTTATAATTGAATCAAATCCAGTAAAATCTATAGTAATCAATAGTACAAGAAGGAATTTACACACCTCTTCTATTCAGCTCCCACGGTTGGAGAATCCGTGCAGGCGGGACTTCTGGAGTCCCCGGAATAAGGGGACACGGCACTCTCACCGGAGACGATTTTCTAAAATATATTAAAATGGTTACAATGTTTAAAATAATATTGAAACATTTTTTTTCTGTACAATTTACTAACTTGGATTTTTTGGCGGGAGGAGCGTCGGGCATCAAAAAGTGCGAGACTTGTTTGATGTCCCGTAGGTGCTGCAGCCGTGCTCGCTGCTCTGGCGTCAGTCGGCCCATATTTTTTTTGTCTGCGGTTTTTTGGCGTTTATATCGCTTTATTTCATCAGCAATACTGAAATAAAAACAGCTTTTAATATAAATACTATGTTAAAACTGAATATTTAAATGAAAGTTTACATACGATGTCGATGGTCCGGCAACAGATGGAGGCGCCTCGGTAATACTAAAACATATATTATATTTTAAACATTTCAATAATATAATAAGAACTACTTTGTGTTAGTAACAAAAAATAGCTAACGTGTTAAAATCAAGCGCACGAGCACAGACGCCGCGCCCACGACCGCGCCCACGACCGCGCCCACGACCACGGGTACCACCACCCCTTGCACGACCACCCCGGCCACGTCCACAACTTCCACCAGCGCCTTGTTCCATGATCTAACAAGCGTGCATAAATAAAAATATTAAAGAAAAGGCAAAAAAAAGCTGTAGATATAAACAAAACCGATAAACTCAAAACTTAAAACACTATAAAAACAAGGTTTTAATTTTTAAGTTTTATAGTAAATGTAGCAAATTGTGTTAAAATAAATACTTCGTAGATCAAAAAAAAAGAAATTAAAAAGTTTACCTCTTGAATTTCAAAACAAACATATGGTCGGTGTGCGTCCTCAGCCTTACTCTTATCTCGAGTAACAACGGCCAAATTTTTTGTTTACATTCAAAAAAATGGCCGCCTTTTTGTGCCCCATTGAACAATAAGTGGAATCATGATTTATATTCGATATATTTTATACAGTGTTTGGTTGAAAATAATTGTTGGTTATATATTATTCACGTTAAATATTGCGTTTTACACAGAATTTGCAAAATAATACATTAAATTACGGTGACAGTTTGATCAATTCTCAG